TATTGAACGGACAGTTGAATGCATAAATCTGCCCCAAGCCCCCACAACCAAAGAAGGAATAGGAAATGAGGTGGAGTTACACATTCCACTACTTATCATATATTATTTATATATAACTCTGACGTATAAACAAAATAATTATGAAATTTCCCATTATAGGTCCATTTTCTTATACTGGTTTGTAAATAAGTATTGAACCTTTTGTAATTATGTTTGCTTGTAAAAATAACGATGTATATCCCGAAAAATCCTATATTTTCCATAAAACTGATTTGTAGTCTTAATCGTTCTAAGACCGAAAAGCACAAGTATAATTACCATACTTAGTTTAATGATACCTAGTTTTATCTATAAGTAAAAACTAGCTGAAGATGGGTTTGCCCTAGAAACTCAATGCGACGATATTAACCTCCTATGATCACTTAGTACATACGAGTTGTATATAACCAAGATCAAACAGACAGTTGAATGGGTGAATCTGCCCTAAGCCCACAACCAAAAAAAGGAACATGAAGTGAGGCGAAAGTTACACATTCCACTGCCTATCGTGAACCTCAGATGGACGAGCACCAAAGAATCATTCGTGAGGCTGGAGAGAAAGAAAAAGTCGAACGTGAAGCTTAGGTCACGCTCGAAAGCCAAAAGCTTTTATTTCCAGTATAGAACTTGAAGCGAATTCTTTGTGAGGTTGTGTATATGCCGAGCCTTTATTGGTTGGAACCAGTTGTGTCATTTGATCTTCAAAACACACAAGACTCGTAGTTGGACCTTCCGATCACACCGAAAGCCTTTAGGTTTCGCAGTTTTGTGAAAGTTGTGAATATCCCAGCAACATACAATGGTGCAGATCACTTTCTTTTCTCGTTCTACCTTAAGGATATGAAGTCGCCGTACGAAACATGGAGTGCAAGTAAAATTACAGCTATGAAGGTCACTGATCCAATTAAAACCAATAGCTTCCCAAATGCAAAATTTAAGGTTGCTAGGGGTTCAACGAGTTAGTTGCATGAGTTTACCCTTGCCGATCTTCCATGCTTGAACCCATATGATTGGATCATGTTGTACAACTCGTTGCTAAGGGATGGACAGAAATATGAGCCTGTTGTTGCTCACTTCATGAAAATGATAATCTCATACATTCAAGAGGTTGGTAAGATGGATGTTGAGGTTGCTGTTGTGTTGTGAAGGAAGCCAAGTGTACTCCCCAAAGAAGTCCCTGAAGGTCTTGACAAAATGAAAATTTGAAAGATACAAAAGAACGGGCGGTGTGTAGCATTTTAATTGAAGGAACAAATAGAAGCATACTTTCATAAGGCTTGCTTCTTTCTTACTGATAAGCATTTGTTCTCCACTTCATGTCTAGAGTATCTCTTGGACTTTATCAATAAGCATAAAGGGAATAGTAAAGATGACAAGAAGTGCTTATCGGATATGATTCAATGGTATATCCAAGTTTGCAAGGTTCTTCTGAGCATGATTCCGAAAGTATTTGAAGTGCAGAAGCGAACTCAGTAGTGAAGGACTCTCGCATCAATCAACACAAAGGGGGAGATTGTTGAGTATTTAGTGTTGCGTCTTTTGGGCCTTTTACTTAGTCTTTTGTATATCCGAGTTGGGCCTGTCCACCCGTGATTAATGATTAAGGTTTTACTATTTAAGATGCATGCATGCATCGTGTATTAGTTAATCGTGTCATTGTAAACCCTACACACCTCTAAGTAGCAATTCTTTTATCGATCTCTTCTGAGGCTGTGATTTGTAATCAGTCGACACATTCTTGATTCATATTATGTGTTTCATTGCTTTTCTTGTTTGAATCTAATCGATCTTTTAAGTTTTCAACTCATGAAGTTATCAAAGTAGTTAAGCACATCATATGTTCTGATTAAGAAATTAGGGTATTCTACATAATCGTGAGCTTTGATCTTCATAACATGGTTTCTATGTTTACTTTTAAGATTGAACTTTGGCCCTTTACAACCTAGTTAGAGTATTCACATCAATACAACTGCTTAGTACAAGCTAAGTTACACAACTTGTTCCAAGGGATTTATTAAGTCGTGATCTAGCTTAACTTGTTGCATCTAAAACCAAGTTATGTGCACGCATTGAAATTAAAAGGTTCTACATGAGTCCTAACCTGAGTTTTGATGGTTGTCACAGTAGGTACCATGAGTAGGTTTGTGAACCTTCTTATCCTTTGAATCTGTTAACCAGACTTCAATATTTCTCCCGTTACTATCATCTTCCTCTATAATTAATGCCTTTCCTTAGATTTTCAACTTTTCTAGATATTCAATTTTCTAAATATAGTAAACTTCATCATTCTCTTTCTTCTTCTACTCATTTTGATTTCACAACATGCACATTCTAGAAAAATGATTCTTTCCATTACAATAACTACGGTCGGAGCCTAAATCTTCAAGCAACCTGTTTTCCATCATCTCTTCTTCTTGTTGATAATTCTTGACTCCTTGACTTTTTTTCTCAGAATATAAGTTTCTTCCTTTGTATACATTTCCTCCACCATCAGTTCTTTCATTATTGTTACCTCTTAAATTTGAAAAATTCTTTTTGAAGAACTTCATTGTATTATTGACCATGAGAGACTTTTCATCATTAGTGAATTCCTCGTTTGTTGCATCTACTTCAGAATCAAGATTTTCTTTTGATTTCTTTCTCTTCACTCTCTCTTCCTTCGCAACTAGAGCTAATGGTCTTGCATCCACATTTGACGTTAGATTCTCTATAACCTCATCTTCATGAATTTTCAAATTTCCAACAACTTGTGCTAACATATAGATTTTAAACTGTTTCGGCGCCTTCCCATTTGAAGTCATCATCTTCCATTCAAAACTCAGACTAGTCATGAATTTAACTTTTTGTTAAATCGACTCATTTGGAAAAGTGTATTTCAACATTCTACTTACAAATGATTGTATCTATCTGAAACTCGATTTATTGACTCTATTTTATTAAAGGATCCAAACTCTTATAGTAGAGAAGTTTGAACTGAGTAAATTTGTTCAATATCTCTAGAATATTACTCCTTCATATATTTCATATAACATTTTGTAAGAGCTCACAAGTCTTAAAGTGTTAGGCGGAAGTGCAAAAGGTAACTCCCATTTTGCTCTTAAATCATTTTGACGTCTCTCCGCCTCATCTTTGGTCATACCATAATTATTGGCAATGATATCATCCAAATCAACATGAGAATAAACAAATTGTTTTGTCTTTGAGAATTGCTGTGAACCTCTAGCGATGAATTTCCAGATGTACGCACTATGAGTTTTAGGTTTTGTTTGTTTGTTTGTTTGTTTTTATTTATTATTTTTTTGTGAATCATATTATTTTTTATTCATCAAGTGATTTATTTGTTTTGTTCGCCAAAAGAATATGTAGAAAAAAAAATTCTTATCTTTTTTAGAAAAACATTTTCTTACCGGATCTCTCTCTCTCTCTTTGTCTCTCTCTCTCTCTCTCTCTCTCTATATATATATATATATATATATATATATATATATATATATATGAGTTAGTTTTATTTATTTAATCTAACTCTTTAATTTAAATAAATAAAATTTTACACAAACTAAATCATTTAATAATTAAATGATATAAGTACCAAACTATAACAATTTATACACATATGAATCATGTTTTTATTGTTGTTGTTATTATTATTATTATTATTATTATTATTATTATTATTATTATTATTATTATCATCATCATCATCATCAAATAATAATTCCAAGAGCTCTAATATTTTAATTTGAATCAAACTCATATACTAAAATATTAATTCAAGTGTGTCTAATAGTTATTGAATTGACTCTATAGAATCATACATTATTAGCAATATTGTTTTTCGATTATTCTAGAGAATATAGAACCAACAATGACACCTAAGCTAAGACAACATATCGAAACAAATAACTGAAGCTGTGAAGCGTAGATTGAGAACTACTAAATCAAAATATGTATTCACATATTACAAGTTGAAGACAAATGATACAAAACTAAGAAACCTTTTGCATACACATTCAAACACAATACTACGAAATATGAGACCAACCAAGATAGAAGTTTATAATCTAATGTGTCAAACCTACTTCACCTTGGTCATCGATCTGATGCGATGTCACGAAATCAACCGGCGCGATCGTGGAGATTACTTATGAACGAAGATTCAGATCCACGATTTTAGCGAGTAGGATATTGTCACCGTATTGTTTTGTTTAAATCCCCGATTTTATAGGGGTTTACTTATATTATAAAGTTTTCTCTAACATATAAGTTATGCGAGGGTTCTTTGTGAAATCTATCGTTTTGTGTATTCTCTCTTTGTCCAAGTTTTTATTAGTCAAGATTAGTTTTCAATTAAGTTTCTGTTCTTTATTGTTTTGTTATTGCTATTTGTTAATCCAATAGATCAAGAGATCGAACAACACGCCGCGACCATTGGTCACATCACGAGGAGAGAGAGTTTGTCAGAGATAAGGATGAGGAGAAGTGATGTGTACTTTGTTTTTGGGTTTTCGATCAGGGTTTTATTAGGGGGTGTGTTGTTTTCATTTTAGTTTTATATATAATTTCTTAATATATATATATATATATATATATATATATATATATATATATATATATATATATATATATATATATATATATAAAAGGTAGCATGAGTCAAGAAAAACCATAGGGATCGCTATGAAAAAAAGTTAAGGAAGAAACATGGCAATCTAAAAAAAACATAATTTTGTCTAAAATATATGTTAACTATTAACTTATTAATTAAGATGGCTTAAAAAGATTTATTTAACATTATGCAATCAATTAGCTTTTGTCTAAACATTATAATGTTTTGATTACTCAAGATGTTTGTGTCTCACGAATATGTCATATTCAAACAAGGGGAGTGCTTTGAACATCGAACAAGATTAATTAGCCAGTTAAAATTAAGTTTAAGACATTAAAACTTTCATAGCTAACAATTAAGTAGCAATGTCTTCCTGTATAACTTTTGTTAATACTCTTTCATGACTTGAATCCAGTGTGGTTGATGCTGAGGTTCCTTGGCTATACCTTGTTGGAGATGACCAGAAACGTTTAGTTGGAACATGCAACGATTGAAAGCTTCCTTCCAACATCTCCACAACTTTACTTATAGAAGGCCGATCCGATGGATCAGACTGGATGCACCACAGGCTCACCATCACCATCTTCTTAGCTAATTCCTCTTCTTCTTCAGTTGTCACCCCATCAACCTCTACATTTTCTCCATCTTCTAGTTTCTTGTATATTGTATCTGGAAAATATATCACACTCATGTCTGTTGTGCTAGCGATATTTTCCTTGCATGCACCAGTCATTTCAAGAACCATCATCCCAAAGCTATATACATCAGACTTATGAGAAGCTCCTCCAAGCCTCTTTAAAAATACTTCAGGAGCCATGTATCCAGCAGTACCTCTTGCACCTGTTACGGATACAATACTCTCCTTTCTCTTGCACAACTTAGCCAACCCGAAATCAGATATTTTTGGGACAAACTCTTCGTCCAATAGAATGTTGTGAGGCTTTATGTCGAAGTGGACTATTCTTGTGTTACAATGTTCATGTAGGTATTCCAAACCTCGTGCAATCCCTTTTGCGATTCTAAATAATGTGTTCCAGTTTAGATGAGATTCATCACGACGTAGAAACTTATCCAAGGATCCATTTGGCATGAACTCGTATATCAAGGCTCTTTTGTTTCCATCAAAACAGAAACCCAAGAGTGTAACTATGTTGACATGAGATGTTTTACCAATGCTTCCAATTTCATTAATGAAATCTTCTCCATCTCCCATGGCTTTACCCAAAAGCTTTACAGCAACTAGTTGCCCATCAGGCAATTGTCCTTTGTAGACACTTCCATAGCCTCCTTGTCCCAGTTTCTCAACGAATGAGTTTGTCATTTTCTTGATTTCTGAATATCTATATCGATTTGGAGCTATAGGTCCATAGTCCCGTATGAATATTTCTATTTGATGATTTCTAGAGGTTCCCTGTTGTTTAAATCGGATGCTACGATAGGTTAGGAATCATGAAATCTAACAAAGACATTATTAATGTTGTCTGTGGAGATTCTTACCAATAATTGAGGCTTTCTATCTGGTCTGATGAGACCTCGATTCTTCCATCTTTTTATTTGAAAGAACATCACCAACAACATGATCAGGATCCCTGCAATGGCACTTGAAATGCCTGCACATAATATTTACATGATTTGTCAATGAGGAATAATGTGTCTTCGGGTTCAATGAAAGCATAGGAACATTTTGTGTTTAATTTGATACCAAAACTATTGGTAAATGTCTTCTTAATTAAACACTTTGGTTGACGTAGACAAAAGTTTATCTGCGCTACCTATAATAACCTTCAACGACGCAACTCCCATGATTCCTGTTATCAAGAAGGTAACGTATTGGAGATCAGACCATGAGCAATAAGCAACGTCAATGAAAGACACTTAATATGAGTCAAAATGAAATAGGAAGGATTATAAATACCTAAGCAAAATGTGAATCTACAACATTGGAAATCACGTACCTCCACTTCCGGTTGAATTGTTACAAGTTAACGAAAAAATCCCATTATCACAATAGCAAGCAAACAATTCAGGTGAAGTCGAGTTGGAGCCACACCGACCATTTGACCTCATACACTGATTACACTCAACGCCTTTCGCTATCCATATTAAATCGAAACCAGCCATCAAAGCTGATCTCAGTTCATCTGCTGTAGCAAATTGCGACCCTAATCGACCACCAAAAGATTGCTTCACCGGTACAGTGATGGAATTCTGGCACTCTTCCAAGAAGTTGGTCATGTTAGAAACTATCTGATTAGTCGTAAGGAAATAGCCATCACTTTGGCTCCCATTCACATTGCAACTAAACAGGTGATTAGCACCCAACGGAATCATTGGTGTACTGGTATTGCACCCGTAGTACAAAGACACATTCTCCTGGCCAGAACTGTCGACGGCGAAGAGGGTCGAGTTGAAGGAGGTGTTGTATAGATATTCAGGGCAAATGTCATACCAGAGATCGTTTCTAGCCATGTTGATTGTCTGTGTACTTGTATCCGTATCCAGGATTTGGTAGTTAACTGACTGATAACTGAGTAGGGAGACATTAAATTCGCAGGTTAGCTGAAACCCTGGGTGGCCGCAGTACGCCGGACGATCTGACCCCCAAAATGGGTAGTGTAGTTGGAAGTCTCCACACTTGACAACGTCGCCACAAACATCATATGGCCGGGATTCTTGGCATGAGATAGCCGGAAAAGAGACAACGATGACGATAATCACTGTGAACGTGATGAAGATGGCTGGTGTCGGGTGTAGATGGGGATTCATGGTGGTGGGAATAGAACGAGATGTAATAGTTAATTAGGAACGACGAATGAATTAGAATTTAGAAAGGAAGTTAAGTGATGAAAATGGGAAAAAGGTGTTAGATTATTTAGTCTTCCATTATTGTCAAAAAGAAATAAAACGCGTTTTTTAATATTAAAGAACTTAACACAATACAAGCTTCTTTGACTAATGAATATTAAGTTTGACGTCGGTCTAAACACAATTATTTGCTGTTGGAATGTTCCAGAAGATTAAAGACGAGGCATTTGACTTTGTTTAGACAATATAAGGTTCCTGTTTTCTGACATAAGTAGGAATTTATTTTAATGTTTCTGTGTGATTTTTGAGTTCAATAAAAGACCCACCGGAAAGCGTGTCCCAAAATACCTCGGTGCAAACAGAGTCGAGACGAATATTAACTTATATTTATGATGAGTGTGACAAGCTAATATTTTACAAGATGTTGACGAACCCACATCATATTCTATGTCTACAAAGAACGACAGATCAAGGCCATGAGAAGTGAACCGGATATAATTGAAAGGAACAAAAGCTTGAGCTTCATTGATCTGCCAATAGCTCGGAAATCCATTGTTCTTAAATGGGTTTATAAATTAAAAGAGATCAAAAACGGAAATGTTATAAAATACAAGGTAAGACTAGTAGTATAAGGCTATGTATAGAATTCTGAAATTGATTATGATGAAAATTTTGCAGGTGATGTGTGTTGCATGACTTGAAAATATAGGAATTTTACTTTCCCTCTCAAATAAAAACGGATGGAAAACACATCTTATTTGTACTTTTAATTGAAGATTTAGAAGAAGTTTAAGTAACCCAACCCAAAGAATTTGTAAGGTGTCAACCCGAAAAAGTTTACAAGTTGTTGGGCCCTGACAAGTACAAAGGGCATGAAACACCCATTTAGAAAAATGTTTGTGAGGACTTGGTTTTGTGAAATGGCATTCTCTTTATAGTAAGAATAGAGACACAAAAAATACTAATTGTTTCGCATTGATGTTGATGGTTACAAGGTAATTGTGATTTTTGAAGTTGAAGAATTCAAAGCTAAAATGAACCCAGAGTTCGAAATCAGCAATCTTGAAGATTTATCGTACTTCCTCGATCAGCAAAGAGGCGACTCATCTAGAAGGTGAATTTACCATGAAGCAGGCAACCCTATAAAGGAACTTGCTTGAAAAACGGGGATTGCATAATGTAATCCTTTTAGATATCATTTTAGCCCAATTTCAAATTATGCTGGAATGAGAAAGATGACCTAACATTGCTAGATAACGGCCTCTTTACCTACAAAAATTACTTACATAAAATATTCATAGGTAATTAATATGAAATACCAATGGATTGAAATATCTTCACGTCTAAAAGTCATTATAGAATGATATTTACACTACTACACAAGTGATTTAATAATACGAACCATTCTTTATTTTTGAGGCTATTGATGGTAAAAACCATCTCATTAAATGTATAGAACATTAAATAATATACGAACCGCTTTAAAAAAGCATCAGATAAATTTTCAGAAGCTTTTATTAATGCGGTTAACAACGAATAGTGTCAAAAAAAAGATTTTTTAGTACTACTTCATATAAAAGCATCATTAAATAAGGATTTTTTGATGCTCTTTTTATAAAAGAGCATCATTAAATCTTTATCTTTTGATGCTATTTTTTGAAAAACGCATCAAATGAAAATGATATGATTTTTTAGTGCTACTTCATGTAAAAGCATCATTAAATAAGGATTTTTTTGATGTACTTTTTAATATAATAGCATCATTAAATCTTTATCTTTTTCCCTCTAAAATTTCCGTCTTTCTTATGTATATAAGGCGGGTCAAAATTTTCTAATGTTGTTGACTAATAGCATCAACAAATGATTGATGATATTCTATGTTGCCATTCGTATTGTGTTTTAAAAGATAGTTTATTTTCTAAGGTTGTTCAATAACAACATCAAAAAATAAATCTATTTTATGAACCTATATTTTATAAGACAGTTTTGGACAACATCAAAAAAATAAGTTTATTTTATGAAGCTATTTTTATGAGGACGGTTGTAGAACCGCCTCAAAAAAAACACTATTTTATGATGCTATATTTTTTGAAGCGGTTGAATAACCGCATCAAGAAATAAAAAAACCGCTTTAGTAAACCTCTTCTGTACTAGTGTTACTAATTACATAGGATTCTATAAGATCACACCTTATAGCAAGTTACTATTAATTGATTATTTATTAAAGTAATTTGATTATTAATAAATATAATAACACTTGTATTTAATTGATTTTTTTGTGAAATAATATTTTACCAAGACGTAGGAAATTATTGTTTATAGGAAATAGTAATAATGAAGACCATGTTTTTTTATTATTTATTTATTTATTTATTTATTTATTTTTTAATTTGCAAGCATTGACTTATTATATTAAATGATTTCCATAATTGTATGTATATTAAATGATATCCATAATTATAATTTTCTCTTTATGGAAATTAATTAAATTTGTCATTAATATCAGCAATAACATTCTTTCAGAATGAATTCGTATCTAGGTTTTTATGT